TATATTAGTAGTATAGTTGTAGCACGAATGGGTTGGCTCGACCGAGGTAGGACCGCACAGACGCTCTCACAGAATACCAGCGTAAAATAGCAGCTTCATGCTGCTGTGTTTCGTATGGTGAGTGTAGAGAACCGGAGATCATTTTTACTGGAAAAGAGGTGTTCCATCTTAGTCCTCACGGGTGACAACGCATCTGCATTTTGATTCGCAAACGAGGATAGATGTAGATGTCTATGGGCCACAGCAACCACTTACCATCAGGTGGACTGTGTGCTCGTTTGTCACCCTATCCTATAAAAAAAATATTCGTCGGATAACTCACGTATTCTTAACCCGCATTCTTCAACTTTCATTTTTCCAAATAACTAGGTTAAACAGCCAAGGGAAACCACACAGCCCCGTCTGACACCTTTACGGATGCCAAACCAGTCCGAGTAGGCCCCGTTGATCCTGACACAAGCACTAGAATCCCTATAAAGAGACTATAATGCCCGTATCAACCCAGCGCTCAATCCAAAAGAATTCAGTGTTTGCCATAACACATCCCTACTCTGTAATAAGCCTTTTCCAATACTATGAACGCACAAAAAACTTTTTGGCTTTTGGCTAAATACTTCTACGCGATCATGCGCATGGAAAAGACTTGATCCGGGTGTATTTTACGGTTACATTCCCTTTCTAAATCCCGCTTGCACATCCCAAATTTTTCAATCACTTTCTTTCATTACTCTTTCAATTAGTACCTCGGCATACAGTTTTCCCACAATGCTAGGAAGGCTAATACCACGGTAGTTTTTACAGTCCTGCTGTACCCTTTTTCTTTATATATTGGGACTATCACGGCTTTGCACCAGGCTCCCGTCCTCATCTATGCTTATCTCCCTATCTCTTTCCTCTTCTTTGGGAATTTCTATTTCATTTAATTCAAACGACCTCTCATTCATAAACACGCTTTAAAAGTAAAGCATTCCATCTATCCCTTTAAATTTGAAACTTCGTCATTCAGAATACAGCTATTCTGCTCTCGTATAGCATTCATTCTAGGCTGTTTTGAATGTTCTTTGGCAGTTCTTAAGAGTTTCCAGAACATTTTAATATTTGCTTAGAGTTATCCGATATTCTTCTATCATTCTTATCCGTTCTTTTTTGCTTTTTTCCTTTATCGAATTAAATATATTACAATGAAATAATAATTAACAAATACAAAAACGATTAAAGGTATAATTTCGGTCGGCAGGCCAATGTCGGTCACCTCATGAGCTTGGTCCAGATATTTTGATCGCTTATCTGTTTCGGCTTATACGAGGTTCTCGTCATACGGAATGGTAATGTCGACCAGAAATATCCTTGACTGTCCACGGGTCCATCTACACAATATCAGCCTTATTCGCAAGAATAGTCCTCTCCGTGATGATGGCCAGGTCCTAGTAGAGCCTGGCGCGTTCATTTTCGAGCACGGCTTCCGGCAAGTACTTGTAATAAGGTAATTTCCGGTCCACGAAATCATATTTCAGAGCGAGCTCCTGGTGTAGATTTCTGGCTACTGGGTTGTGCCTGTGCACGTACTCGGAGTTACAAAGCGCCGAACAACCGGAGATGACGAGCCTAACTGTCTCATCGGTATGGCGACAAGCTCGACAGATGTCGACAGTGCCATCCTTTAGGATGTATCTCTGATAGTTGTAGGTCCTGATCCTGTACCGCACAGACAAACCCCTCGGTTTCCATAAAGAGGTCACAAAATGTAGCAAGTGGAGGGAGGCAACTGTGTCTACGAAAGGCTCATGTAGAGCTCCTTCTCCTTCCATACGCACTCCCGGTCGGAAATGCTCTGTACTGCTGGGTCTTGCCATTGCTCGTTGGCTTAGGATAGAGGGTTAAGCCCCTTATCACAAGAAATGACGTTCGTATAGAATAGATCATCCTATCTCGCCAGAAAATAATTACGGAGACTGCACACTTCGCGATTACGAGTATGCAAGGTAAGTGCGCTTAAAAAACCATGCCCACCATGTTTTCGCTGCAAGTACATCCTCATAATCGACGATCTCGGGTGATGTATCTATCCCATGGGACGTCATAGTAGTGCGGACTTCTATATCTAGGGCGTTAAGTTCAGTTTGAGTTAAGTTCAGTATGTAAAATGTATAGATGAGGACAAGCTTGATCTAACCGTTATATGCGTGTGTCTTATTTATACCGGACAAAAGGCTGTTAAGCACTTTGGTCAAACGTGCATAAAACACATCGCAAACTGACTGTTTCATACCCGCCTCATTGATACCGATGTTCTGTGACATACCCAGGTATCGGTATGTTTCAGCCTCGGAAATGGTCCTTAAGTTGATGGGCATAGATAAGTCTATGTCCTCAAAATTAGCAACTCTTCCTCTTTCAACATGGAGGATCGCACACATATCCGTCCCCAGCTCCATTCTAATAGAATTACTAAAATCACCAATGATGTTTAGCAATTTTATATCTATGCATATAATAAATCTGTAGAAAAGTCGTGTTTGTAATTCTAATATATTCTTGAAAAAAACAAGTCCAGGAAACTAAATATAGAGTTCTGAAGCCAAGTTAGTAGTTTTTAAAAATTTTGTCCGTCTGTCTGTGTATTCTGGATTCACGCAAAAACTACTGTACCGATATACATGAAATTTTGTATGTAGGTAGTTAGTAACCCGAAGCAACTTATAGGTCACTTTTTATCCGATTACGGAACTTCAAAAATAAGGTTAAGTATTTTCCTTCCTTTAGATATTAATTTTCTATTATATCTTAGTTATGGGCGGGATGACGGATGTTTTTAAAATAAATACTATTTTTATAAATAAAGTTTAAAATATAGTTATAACCTTCGTAAAATAATTTGAAACTACACAGATTTAGTAATCAAAACAGCGCCATCTATCATCAAATGGAAAAAGTAGTATATTTTGCCTTCAGGTACTAATAAATTAAATAATATAAATAACTTACATTTATTTGTTTAAATAATCAGATTATTAAAATTATTTAAAAATTCTAACGTTTACTTTTTTAGTAGTTTTGTTATTTTATTTTAAAAGTGTAATAATTTCAATAGATAATAGTGACGTCTATCAAAAATATGAAAATTGATAATGTTTTTATTTTAATGACTAATCTTTATGTAAAGTGATTAAAACTGGTCTGTCTGCAATTATTGCAAAATTTTCATTATCATTATAGTTTTATTAAAGACATTATTATTATGTCGTGGCCAGATCGTTGAATTGATAATGTTACGAGCTTGAAGTTTGAGATAATTAAAAACTGCCGATTGAATTACCAAAATTGACACTTTAATTACACAACACTAATTACAACTTAAAATCACACTAATAATAAAACACAATCACTTTAGTTCGCAGTTATTTCGCTTCGAAGTATTCTATTGTATCGTCAATTCAATACTGCCTTCGTCGTGGTCTATACCGGCCTTATATAGGGCCTCAGCTAGTTTCCAGAACCTTCTACTGTAGCGACATCTAGAATTTTCGAGTACATATCGGTCCCGAAATTTCTGGAAGGATCTTGACTCTCCTAGTTCTGCTACTCGACACTAGAGGGCGCTAGTGTAACTAGTGTAGCCATGTACATGACATTAATAGTGGCGCGCAACACTGCCCCCTCCTAAGACATGCTCGTCCCGAGCATTATTGGCCCCATAATAACGCGCCAGTCGATCCACATGGACGATCTTAGGAGTATCCTGGCACCTTTCTGTATCCGGTAGGTTACGTCATTTATCCTTGTCACAATCCGGTACGGTCCGTCCCATTTAGCTTGAAGCTTTAGAGATTTACCTTTGCTGCGAGCTGGATTGTGTAACCACACTAGTGAACCTTCGTCAAACCCTTTGTTGTTCATTTTGCGGTCATACCGTGTTTTCATCTTCTCAGACGTTTGCTGGCCCGTCTGTCTGACGTGCTCATAAATGTCATTCATTTTGTTCCGCAAGTCATTTGCATAATCAGTTATACTGCGTGGGGCATCTGGTGGCATTCCGGTGATCAGGTCTGCAGGCAGCCGTAATTCTCTCCCAAAGTTTGCGAAAGCTGGTGTCACTGATGTACTTTCGTGAACAGCGCTTCGATATGACAACAAAAACGGTTGTATGTGCCTGACCCAGTCTCGTTGCCGTTTTTCCACAACTTTTGCTAGGTACCTCTCCAATGTCTGATTAAATCTATACGTGGTAGAACCATGCTGCAGCTATATTATGGTTGTAGCATGAATGGGTCGGCTCGACCGGAGAGGGACCACGCTCTCACAGAATACCAGCGTAAAATAGCAGTTTAACGCTGCTGTGTTTCGTATGGTGAGTGTAGAGAACCGGAGACCCTTTTTACTGGAAACGAGGCATTCCATCTTTAGTCCTCACGGGTGACAACGCATCTGCATTTTGATTCGTAATCGAAAATAGATGTAGATGTCTATGGGCCACAGCAACCACTTACCATCAGGTGGACTGTGTGCTCGTTTGTCACCCTTATACTATAAAAAAAAAATCGTTCTACCATTCCATCAGATTGTGGGTGGTAAGAAGTTGTTCGTGTTTTATGAGTACCCATAACTCGGCAAGTTTCCTGGAATATTTGAGACTCGAAATTCCTTCCTTGATCGCTGTGAATCTCTAAAGGTACTCCAAAACGACAGAAGACTTCATGAACTAGTTTATCTGCAACTGTTGAAGCTTCTTGATTTGGAATGGCGAAGACTTCTGGCCACTTAGTGAAGTAATCCATCACAACCATGAAATACTTGTTACCACTTTCACTTTCCGGAAACGGCCCCGCAACGTCAATGGCTATCCTCTCCCATGGTGCACCAACATTGTACAATTTCAATGCACCTCTATTACGAATTTAAGGTCCCTTTACAGCCGCACAACTTGTACATTTGTGGCACCAGTCCTCGACATCATCACGGCAGTGGATCCAGTAAAACCGTTCTTGGATTTTCAGTAGAGTTCATTTAACTCCCAGGTGGCCTCCTGAACAACCACTATGGTACAGCTGTAGAACATCCGGTACTTTAGCCTTAGGGACAACCATTTGCAAACGACATCTGTCTCCCCGACCATTTTCCCATTTACGGCACAGGACTCCATCCTGAATCAGCAAGCTGTCCCATTGGGCCCAATAGCTTTTCGTGGTCGAACTCATTGCTGAGACGTCGCTCCACTTGGGCTTAGGAGCACTAGCCTTCATCCATTCCAGAATCGGCTTAATGTCGGAATCTTCCTGTTGTGCATGTTGTAGGCTGTCCTTCCACTCATTGCTGAGCTGGTCTTTCCTGAGTATTCTCACAGATACCACTTCCTTACCCTCTTGCCTAGCACAATGCTTGCAATCTTCAGGGCAAAGTCTTCTTGATAATGCATCTGCAATGCCATGAGATTTCCCGCTGCGATGTTCGATGAAAAAGTCGTATTCCTGCAGTAGTTCAATCCATCTCGCAACTTGTCCTTTCGGATTTTTGAACTGCAATAGCCATTTCAGTGCAGCATGGTCAGTTCGTAAGCGAAATTTCCGCCCCAGAAGATATTTGCTAAAATTCTGCATGAACTTTACCACAGCAAGCAATTCCCGTCTTATGATACAATATTTCCTTTCTGGCTTTGACAACGACTTGTTGAAGTATGCTATCACAATCTCTTGATCACCATTCCGTTGAGACAACACACCGCCAACTCCTATATCACTTGCGTCTGTGTCAACTATAAATTCCTTGCCCCTGATGCGGGCCCCAAAATAGGTGTTTTGCACAGACGGTTCTTGAGCTCCTGGAATGCAATATTGCAACTTTCATCCCAGCAGAAATGTCGCTTCTCCTCGGTTAGCCTGTGCAGTGGTTAGGCTATATCTGGAAAGTTCTTCACAAATCGCCGATAATAAGAGCACAAACCCAAAAATGCTCTAACCTGTGTCTTGTCTTTTGGAACCGGCCAATCTTTGACAGCGGCAATTTTCTCTGGATCCGTGCGGATACCTTCTTCCGACACTACATACCCCAAAAAGCTAACTTGCCGTTTGAATAGTGAGCACTTCTTCGGACTCAACTTGAGGTTGGCACTCTGGATCTTCATGAGCACGCGTTCTAGGTTTTGAAGGTGTTCCTCAAACGTACAGCCTACGATGATGATGTCATCCAAATAGACCAGACAGGCATCTCCAATTAGCCCGGTAAGTACAAGCTCCATCAATCTTTCAAACGTTGCTGGAGCATTGCACAATCCAAACGGCATGACTTAAATTGCCACAGACCCTTTCCTGTGCAGAATGCAGTTTTCTCCTTGTCCTTAGGGTCAATTTCAACCAGCTATATATATACCAATATATATACCAATAGCCATTTTTCAGGTCCAGCGTACTAAACCACTTTATGCCTGTGAGCATGTCCAGCGAGTCATCAATTCTAGGCAAGGGATAGCTGTCCTTCTTCGTAACGTCATTCAGGCGGCGGTAGTCAACACAAAACCGCATGCTGCCGTCATTCTTCTTTGCCAGCACAACAGGTGAACACCATGGACTAGATGAAGGTTCAATAACACCATCCTTCACCATTCCCTCAATCATGGTTTCCACTCCCTTTTCACGTGCTACAGGCAATCTTCTTGGCCGCTGACGAATAGGCAATTTTTGTCCTGTGTTTATTTTGTGTTGAACTAAGCCAGTCTTTCCTATGTCAGCTTCGTTTGACGGGAAAACATTGGCGTACTTGAGTAACAACTTCTTCGCCTTGACCATTTCATTCGGGGAGAGAACGCTGCGACAGTCTTCTAAAAGTGCGGTCACTCTCGTTTGTCTATCCTTGCTGAGGGTCCCAGTCGATAGATATTGGCACCGACGCAACCAAAATCACTTCCTCACTAGTACCAACCAATGTGCCTTTTTCTATAATCTCTTCCTGGTCACAAAGGTTCAGCACACGTACTCCTGAGATGTCGGCGGTTCTGACCAAGGTTCAAGCCACTATCCATGGAAAGCCTTTCCACGAGTACACAACGAGGAGTTTGCCCAGGATTCCGAGGAAGTCTAACCGGCACAATCGTTTCCGATCCCGGCGGAAGAACAATCTTCTTAAGGCTGTAAACATTCCCTGGTAACGCCCCATCCACGAAAAGTTCCTCTTGTCCACATTTCAGAACACCTTGCTTAACGTCGATCTCACAACAATTCTTCCTCATAAAGTCTAGGCCCAGGATGCAGTCGTCCATTATATCAGCCACGATGACATTATGCAGGTAGATCATGTTCTCTCTAAGGACGGGTATGCGCTGACCAGTGGCTGTCACCAAATTAATGCGTTCGCGGTTGTATGCGGAGTCCCCAAGGAACCGACTTATAAGTTGGGAACTGACAACCGTGCGACAGGCTCCAGTGTCTATGGTCAGTTTACACGGCGTTCCGTTGACCTCGCCCTTGATGATTAAGCTGTTCCCATCATGGGTTTGTGAGATCGAAATCCTTGGGGCTCTTTTAACATCAGCCAGCACCCGCCCCGCAGTCCTGGCTTTTACTCGTTTCCCTGCTGCTGCTGGGCGGTGCTATTAGCGGCACTACCTTCTCGAGATCGATCACCTTCCCTTTCTACAGTCCGCTTAGGGCAGCTGCATCGAAGATGGCCCCTTTCCCCACAGCCGTAGCACCTAGGGCTGTAGCCGTTATTGCGGTCCCGAACTGTAGCTGCTGTAACCTCCCTGACGCGATGGGAACGATGATCCTGCCGCACGGCTTCCACCTCCAGTGCATGGGTCAAGGCGTCCTTAAGCGTCTCGTGGTGCCCGAGCATCACAGCAGCTCTGACTTCAAGGTCGCGGATGCCGTCGATGAATGTCTGCACCAGGTTCCCTACAATGAGCGCTGGAACCGACTGGTATGCTTTTCGAACCAGCTTCTCTATCTCAAGGGCCCATTGCTGCAAGTCTTCATTACTGCGTTGCACGCGATCTTTGAGCTGCGCACGAAAGACGTGTTCCAGGTGAGCATCGCCGTATCTCGCCTCCAATGCCTCAAGGAGCTGCTCGTAAGTCACTTCCTTACCGAGAGCTTCCAGATCAGTTAAGGCCTGATCGTGCAGGCCTAGGGTGAGAGCTGTCATGGCCTGACTTTTATTCCAGCCGTTCGCCTTCATAACAGCCTCGAATTGGATTTTGTAGGCCGACTAGGAAGAAGTCCCGTCGAACGGCGGCACTTTGAATCCACGTAGCGAAGGTGTTGTAGCTACCACGGGAGCTGTAACTCCATCCCCAAGTTTGAGGTCGTCCAGCGTTTTCTTCACGTCAGCCATAACGTTGTCAACCCGATTGTACACTTGGTCGATTCGGGTTTCAGCTTCCGAAAGGCGGTTGTCATATTGAGCAACCTTATCCTTCACCTCCCTTATCTCTTTCTCGAAGGTAGCGTGAAGGTCCTTCATGAGAAGTATCTGCCCTTCCTTATTGCGTTTGAGCTGCTCTTCCAACCGACGGCCCTGTTCCTCCTGTTGGCGGCCCTGTTCCTCCTGTTGGCGGGCCTGTTCCTCCTGTTGGCGGGCCTGTTCCTCTTGACCGCGCTGCAGCTGTTCTTCCAACCGACGGGCCTGTTCCTCCTGTCCGCGCTGCAGCTGCTCTTCCAACCGACGGGCCTGTTCCTCCTGTCGGCGAGCCTGTTCCTGCAGCATCATCATCAGACTGAAACACTTTGGAGCCCTGGTTCCGCTTGATCGCTTCTTCAGTACGAGCAGTAGTCCCGCCGCATGCATTTGGAGATCTGTCTGTTCAGTTGCCTGTATGCTATCAAATCTACTGAAGACTACAGCTTCATTTTACGTCTAATAGCCACAAGATTAAAGAGTGTGATAGGAGAGTTTTTTGTTCTTCTGCGGCGGATCTTGCAAAACTTAGCTCCGACCGCATGGACAGTTTCGTGGAAACTGTCCTTGCGGGTGAAAGCTTGTCATTCAAAACGTTCACTTCATTGCAGTCTTCTAGGCATTGAAAACGGTTTTGTAACTCGAGCTGAAAGGTTTCGGGACTTTGGATTAGAGCACGAGGGGGACGGCGCGTTGACTTCATTAGACGATATCTCTCCAACTTAACGTTTAGGTTCATCAAAAAGTCAGGTGCTGTAGATGCAGGAGCTGATGGCGGACCGACCTCCGTGGTCAGCAGCTAGCCCTCCGATGTATGCGGCGTTGTATTACCAAATCGTCTCTAGTCCGTCTCCAGCTGGCGTTGACTTCGGGTACGGATACCCTCCATGTCGTCCTTTGGTAAAATCGGCATGATTTAATCCCACTTCTGACACCATTTGTTACGAGCCTGAAGTTCGAGATAATTAAAAACTGCCGATTGAATTACCAAAATTGACACTTTAATTACACAACACTAATTACAACTTAAAATCACACTAATAATAAAACACAATCACTTTAGTTCGCAGTTATTTCGCTTCGAAGTATTCTCTTGTATCGCCAATTCAATACTGCCTTCGTCGTTGTCTATACCAGCCTTATATAGGGCCTCAGCTAGTTTCCAGAACCTTCTACTGTAGCGACATCTAGAATGTTCGAGTACATATCGGTCCCGAAATTTCTGGAAGGATCTTGACTCTCCTAGTTCTGCTACTCGACACTAGAGGGCGCTAGTGTAACTAGTGTTGCCATGTACAAGACATTAATAGTGGCGCGCAACAATAATATATCATAAAGTAGTCTATCATTCTATCAGAACTTTTAACAGGAATTACATCTTTTTATGCCTCATGGATATAATAAATAAATGTTCGCTTCTATCGCTGATATTACTAGATAGTATAGTCATCTAATAATAGCGCCATCTACTTACTACTATATAAACTAAAATGGTCACTGATAAAATTTAATAATAGAATGCTACTGAATATACGATGTAAAAATAATTGAAAATTCGTTCGTGGCATCGTTGGATGTGTAATCACTAGGTACATGTGGTCAACAATTATGCAAAAGCTTAGTTTCAGTTTTCATGAATTGTATTTATATAAATAGGAGGGTCTTGTAGCTCGCCGTGAGATTTCATCATGGCACGGGAGCAAAACGATTCCCTTGAGAATGGATCTATTATAGAAAATTTTACGACTTACGTGCTGACTTAACACGTGTCAGTTAAAGTGGTAAAGAATAATTTCGTGGGGAAACCTAGATATCTAAGTAATTAAAATAGTCGTGGAGATGTGAAAACCGTTAATATGCATTGAAGCATTGCAGCATACTTTATTTTTCTGCCTACAAAACTATAGGTAGTGAGGAGCCCTATGCACAGTAGTGGTACTTATATTAGCTGCTACTTTACCTTTTTACCTCTAATGAGACTTATAAATCAGTTTGTAACTTAAGATAGCTTTCATATTTTCAGATAATATCTGAAAATATGAAAGCTATCTTAATATATATCTTAATCTTGAAACCAGGACTGTCACAAATATCTTAATATATTATATTAAGATATTTGTGACAGTCCTGGTTTCATAGTTCATATGAATATACGTGAATGAACAGGTTCTTGCGGAAAAATACTTTAATTAAAGAAAGCAGATTTTAACATACTTACACAAAGGTTCGTTCTATTCAAAGACATTTAAGTAGTAGTAATAATAGACCGGACATCAGCAGAAAAATTGTCGTCTGTAACTTATGCCCTATAGGATATATCTCCGATTTTTGTCATTTAGTCTTAGTGACATCGTCAAAAAGTCAATACGCATTCGTTTCATATATTTAAAAAAAATATTTTTAAATAAAATATGCGCGGTTGTGCATTAAGATATTATAAGTCACGATATGGAGCAAAAAATGAACGTGACTTCGGTTTATTATTGTAATAATAACATATATTTATCGAATAATCTTTAAATTTTATTATTTCTAGTAGATTGTTCTAGAATATTTATTTTTATTGCAAAAAGCGCCCTCTGTTATCCAGTAAACGTCACTATTTAGTTACCAATTTTAAAGTTAGTGATTGACGACGTTTATCGATTGGGATTATCGATAACAAAATATACAGGATTAAATTTGACAAAAAAATACTTTGCGTACATCCGCTAAAATAAAATGATGTGTCTTACCTAGTTCGAAGAGCACCTCCCGCCCTGCCTCAATTATTATTAATTTTTTTTATTTTTTATTTATTATTAATTTTGTCAAATTTAATATATAATATAATATAATTTATTCCGCAAAGTAACGCCTGATTCTATTAATTAAATATACAGGATGCCGATTTAATCCTTTACAATATTTAAGGAGGTAAAACAGTCAACGATACTGTACCCATACCAACAAAAATGAGTAGTATATACCAACTATGCTAAGTAGCCTACTTTATGTGGAGCAAGGGTGGGAAATTTTTATTAGGCGTGCTGATGAGATTTTCTGTGTTGCTTATGAGCATGCTGAGGATACTTGCTGTGTTGATGTTTAGCAATACAGCAAGTCTTCTCTTTTACATACCAGGATTCATTGTCTGGTAGTTTTACACCGGGCTTCATTGTCTGGTGGTTTTCAAGGACAAAGCCATTATAGATCCTCGCTTACAGTGATAGGAGCGGGCTATAGGTTTCTTACATTGAAAACAATTCGTACTGTTAAATATATTATACTCGTAATTGATATTAATATTATAATAGAAACGAATTTAAAAACATAGAGCCGCTCTCTTATTGGATTGGATCAATCATATTATGCTATTATTATAGCAGCTAATGGACCGAGTGACGTCATCCAA